CCATGCTAAGGCAGTCAGCCAATCCTTTGTACCTCCGTAAAAAAAATACCTTGCTTCTTGCAAACCTCCAGCATGTACATGTGTATTTCTCAAATGCTTCATTTTCGGAGGAAATGGTGTTGAAATGATGTAGAAGTTTGAGCCGATAGTTCATGTTTGTCAGAGTTATTCTGGCACAGGAAACATTAAAGTTCTAAATGCCTGGTCTCCTCAAGGGTTCAACTGGATTTTCAGTCAACACATACCTACTTCTAAATAGAGACAAGCATTACTTTGAAGTATTCCGTATGTTTGTCCATTGTTTAATTTTACATATCTTATAATAACTATATGGCACTACTGGTCAGTGAATAGGCAGTGGTATGCCAAAGAGTTGACACGGTCAGGAAACATAGTCTATGCTACGTTTTATAAAAGCATGTAAGTTAAATTGTACTTCTATCTATGATTACAAATGTGCTCTTATTTATGACTGGATGTTGCACATGAGACATTAATGTTTCATACACAGCACTATAAACAATGTAGTGAACATTGAACTGAAAATCATAGTTGAGTGGAATGACATTTAATTTTTTAACTTAGAAGAAATTTTTGCTTGCAAGTACCTTTCCATAAGTGTCAGATAATCTGCTAGTGATTTGTAGATCTTTACCTTCAGTGATGCACTGCAGCATTCAAGTAACACCCTTTTTTTTAAAAAGGACAGTTTAAAATCTAATTATTCCATATTCTGCAGTCTCTAACACTAGCAGGGTGCTTACACCATTATTGTGGAAAGCTGTGGCACTACAGTTACAAAAGCCATCAGATGTTATAAGCAAGTGGGCATGTGCTCTTTGCAGAAAGCTTTTTCTGAGTCAAGATTCTTTTTCAGCCCCTTCACACCTTTTTGAAATATCAGGACTGTGTCATTGGCATGTAAGGGTCAAAGGTTCTGTGGCAAGTCTCAAACCATTTGTGCATGCCTCATTAGACATAGTGACCTCTAACTGCACCAGCAATCTACTGAGGATTGTTCCTGGAGATCACAGGAATAGTCTGTTTTGTTGATTTTTCCTCCTTTTAAGTAAATGAAAGTGTAATGCCTCAAATTTGTTCTTTAAAAGTATTTTCAAAATATAGTTACAAAACTAGAAGCAAATAAATTACATTTGCCTTAATTTTTAATTAGCTGAAAGTCATCACTGCAAATTGTGTCTTCCATTGCTAAATAAAATAGTCAACTGCCAGGCCTGAAATAATTCAGCAATATATTATAATTAAGGAATTTAATTTTGATTTAATTATGATACACAACTTTCTTTCTGATTTAACTGACATTCACTGACAAAATGCTATAACATAAAAGAGCAGTAGGGTTTACAGCTTATGACTCTGCGTGTTTTGCTTCATAGTACTTGGCATTCATCAGAGCATATGGAAAAAGCCTCGTAGTCTGGAATAGCTGGCATCTTATTTCATACTACCCAAATTATGTACTACTTGGGGGCTTTTCTGTTGTTGTTTTGTGAGGCAGTTGGGGAAATACAGGTAACTTGGGCTTAAGCCAAATTTATGGATCCTATCTGGAATCTTTCCATCCACATTGGTCTGCTTTTGATAATGAACTGCTCCCATGTTGTTGCAGGGAAATAGTTAAGACCACATGCTTATGAAATATTTATAAAGCTTTATTGTATACATATTCTGTGTCAACATCAACATGATTTTTTATTAGGCTAGGGACTTGAGGGCAAGGATAGAAATGATGGGCACGCAGAGAATACCACTTCATTCACTGCTGCATCAATAAAATTGCTACAAAATATTCACCAAATTGAGCAAGACCAACCCCCTATTTTGCTAAAATGTTTTTCACCATACAGCAATATTGGAGGATGGCTTTTGTATTCCACACTACACGAACCCCTGTTTAATGATAAGAATGCTGATGATGATTTCAAAAAGTTCATTCTCCATGCAGTCAGGTCTGCACCTGCAGGTCTTCATGACTGCAGACTCCTAGAACTGAAGTTGAATGACAAAAAGCTAATTCTCCTCTTGATTTAGTGATTTGAGCACTCTTAGCAACATCCATGAAAAAATCATGTAAGACGAGAAAGGCCATGATTCATCATATTACATGCAGTCAGGTGCTCTTACGGCCCTACAATTTTGATGTTTTCTGTTTTATTCCTATGTTGATGTTTATATTTCTCAGGAAAAACTCAATGGCCAAATGTCTTTTGAGGCTGAGAGCAATTGTATACTCAGAGCAATAATGAATGTTTGTTACTTTTCAAGCCCTTTCTGCCTCTGTTTTCTGAAATTTGTCAGATCAGTGATATTTGTGATGCAGCAGAAAATCAGAACAATGTTTTCAAAACCTGAACAAACATTTCAGCTAGCCTTCTTGTGTTGCTAAAATTTCTTTCATACCTTCTAATCTTCATCCCACTAGCCAAAAATTCTTTGCTGTGTGACTGTGGTAGGCTGGCACTGGCTGGGTGCCAGGTTCCCACCAAAGCTGCTCTGTCCCTCCTCTCTTCAGCTGGACAGTGGAAGGAAAATACAACCAAAGGTGTCTAGATCAAGATAAGGACAGGGAGACATCAGTCACCTATTGCTGTCACAGTCAAAACAGATTTTTGGTGAACAGACTTTAAGGTAAAACTTTACAGTAGAAAGGCCTTGTAAAATATGGTTCAGGCCTTGCTACTATGGCTAAGCTAGCCTGATAAATTCCTGTGAGAAAAGAATTATAAGAATAAGAATGAGTTTGCATAAAAATCTATTCTTGTGGAAGACACTTTGCACCTGTAAAAATAAGAAGTCTATCCCGTGAGAATCTGTGAAGAAAAAAATGTAAACATATGTAGAAAAAGTTTGATATACACATACCATTACCAACCAATGAACTGAGTTTCAATGATTTGCTGACCAATTGTATTCAAACACTGTACCTTCTAATATATCTATAAATATGAACTATGTGAATAAAGATTCAGCTGTTCTGTGTCAAGAACAAGAGTCTTGTCTGTCTCTATTGCTCCAGACTTGAATTAGGGAAATTGGCTTAATTTTATTACCGATCAAAGCAAAGTAGGATACTGAGAAATGAAGACAGATCTTGAAACAGCTTCCCTCCTCCCTCTCTTCTTCCAGGGCTTAATTTCACTCTGTATTTCCTCAGCAGTGCAGGGGAATGGGGAATGGTGGTTGCAGACAGTCTATCCCATATTGTCTCTACCCTCCCTCCTCCTCAGGGGAGGACTCCTCACCCACTTTCTCTGCTCCAGTTTGGGGTCCTTCCCACAGGAGACAGAACTCCATGAACTTCTCTAATTTGAGTCCTTCTCACGGGGTATAGCTCCTCACAAACTGCTCCAGCATGGTCCTTTCACAGGGTGCAGTCCTTCAGGAACACACTGCTCCAGAGTGGCTCCTCCACAGGGTCACCAGTTCTGCCAGCAAACCTGCTCAGTGGGGGCTCCTCTCTCCATGGGGCCACAGCTCCAGCCAGGACCCTGCTCCAGCACAGAGTTCCTTTGGAGTCACAGCCCTTCAGGTTCTCCATGCTCCAGTGTGGGCTCCTTCACAGGCTGCTGGGGAATCTCTTCTTGGGCACCTGGAGCACCTCCTGCCCCTCCTTCTGCCCTGACCTCCGTGTCAGCCCAGCTGTTCCTCTCACGTATTCTCACTCCTCTTCCCTACTAGCTGTTGTCCAGCAGTATTTTCCCTTCTTATCCCAGAGGTGCTGCCACCATTGCTGATGGCTCAGTCTTGGTCAGCAGCGAGTCTGTCACTGTCAGACATGAAAATGATTCACACAGACACAGCTCGAAGTGCAATGAAAGCAGAAGAAGGTTTATTCTGTCTTTTCAGCATTTATAGATATTCGACAATGACCAGGGATTGGATAGTCAGGTCACCACCTTCCGAACCACACTGGCCATGAGAGACATCCATCAAAAGGCATATCTTTAATGGAATGTATAAACATCTATGTTTCTAGTTACTTTCCTGGGAAATTGGTTAGAAATTATGAAAACAATATAGAAAGGCCTGATTCTCAGGGCAACACGAGTCCATCCGGGAGCCGTCTGGAATTGGCTCTGTGGGACGTGGGGGAGGCTTCTGGCAGCTTCTCACAGACTCCAGTAGCCACCCCACGCCTAACACCTGGCCATCACACCCAGTACAGTAATATGCACTCAAATAAAGGTTTTCCAAAAGGCCCATTAAACAACATAAAATTAGAAATATGCTGATGTGGGGTTATGCTTGTGACAGCCTCATATATATTTCAAAATGGCTGCATTTAGACTCCCTACAGACGTTGTATTTTCATGAATACAGTAAGACATCTGAATAATTTAAGAGAATGTTGTCAGTAGCAAGTGTCACACAAAATAACTGGAAGGAAAATTGTCTTCACTTAGTGAAGATAAAAATGCATGCAAATCAATTTCTGTTTAATACACAGCTTTAAATAGGAAACAATAGGTTATTACTTTGACAGGAAATCACAAAATGTTTTTATTACGTTCTTATCACCTCATTTACTTCATATCTAGAAATTCTGTCCATGATCCACACCTCTGTAATTCTCACAGAGAGATAATTATATAAATACATTGAAATTTGCACATAGGGAGCATTTATTACCTAATTTGCTTATACTTTCAAACTGAAGAGCAAATGTAAATCTATTTGAGATTTTACAGGAATTTTGAGGTTTCAAATTTAGCACTTCCAAAATGCAAACCATTGGAAAAGTGCTTTAAGCAGTAAAATTATTCTGGCTGAAATTAACCCTGCAAAATACTTTTCTCTCTTGTCTAATAAATATTTTATGAAGAACCTGAAACTATATGCAAATGCAGTCATATTTACCCACTAATCATGAGAACCAAGTGATGTTCTGCCTGCTGATACATTTATTGTTGAGAGATACATTTCAATTATATTACCTTTTGGTTTTTTGTTTTGTTTTTTTTTTATTATTATTCCAACAGCTTACCCAGGAGTTAAAATGGTGAGTGAAAGTCATCATGAGGCCCTGGCAGCGCCGCCAGCAACCACAGTAGCAGCAGCCCCTCCAAGTAATGTCACCGAGCCAGCCAGTCCGGGAGGAGGAGGAGGAAAAGAAGATGCATTCTCTAAGCTAAAAGAGAAGTTCATGAATGAACTGAACAAAATTCCACGTAAGTAAAACTTGATTGATGAAAAAGCTTCTGTTGGCAGACTAGATTTAATTTGACATTTTCCTCTTTGACATTTATTTAGACAGCATACTAAATGTTTTCTAGTCAAAGCTGGAAAAATCACAGGATTAAACTGGTTTTGTAAGTTCATCAGAGTTAACTGAAGTAGAAAAAAATAGAGTCCAACTCAAATTTAATTTATGTCTATTCTTGATATGTCAGATTAGTTTGAAAATTTTTACTGATGAATTACTGCTGAATTATTAAAACTGAAACTAGAGAACTTCACTATGGCTGTGGGACCAATAAGTAAAATGTTTCCTGTCAGTAACACTTAAGGTTTCATGTTTATGACAAATGTGTGTGGCCATATTGCCTTAAAGCAATATTTGGTCAGAACTCACACATATTCAGAAAACAAGGAAACTTTGGATCTTTAGAGATTAGCAAATGTAGAAAGAAATATGACAATTGAGTTTTAACAAGAAGATAGCTAACACATGTGTAATGTATGAAGATAGCTGTGCTTTTTTTCACTAGTTATTCTAGTAGATCAGCCAGTGAGTGCTGTTTGCACAAGTTCATGTATCTGTGACAAAAACTTCGAAGTATAAATGTATATCTCTGTGAAGTTAATAGAACTAAAGTCAGCAGGGTTCTTTTGGTCTTTGGTGCTAGAAAGTATTGACTTGAAGTTGAGGCCTCAATTTCTTCACATTTAAAAAAATAATACAAGCATTAACTTTGACCTGTTGTTTATAATACTCAAGTTCTTTAATTTGTCTGATATGTTTTACTGATATGTTTACTGATATGTTGTAGATACACTGGTATCAAATATACAACTACTTCAATATTGTCAATGGCATTTTGTATAATACAAAAAAATATTTTTGTTACTGACAGAGAAATGACATAATGCTACAGCAGATCATTTTGGCACTTGTATAGACAAGAAGGTAAAGGCTCCGTGTGTGTATTTTAGTAGCAAGCATTAGAGAGTCATTCAGTGTTTACTGACTTCTTCTTTACAAGGAGAAGTAAATGTAAAATATTTCCATGGAAGTATTCTACCATATGTAAGAATTTGCATTTTTAGAAGGATTTCCTTTGTGTAAGGAAGTGTTCTGTGACTGATAAAGTTAGATAACAAATTAGAATATTAATCGATTTCTTTTATCTCTAAATGGATCTTGGTAATATGGCAGATGCAGTTTTTGCAAAATTGATAGTAAACAGTTTTGCTCTGTCCCTCAAAATTCTCATTTGCAAGAATTAAGGAGCTATAGAGGTAAGAAATTCATGTGCCATTATTTTGGTGATCTGTGCAGTCCAGTTCAGACCATACTGAAATGAAATTGTCTCATGATGTCATGGGAAAACAAAACTAAAGAATAAAAGTACAAAAATAAAAGCATAAAAAGAAAGAAGAGGAAAAATAAAAAGACAAGACATTGAGGGAAAAACAGTCAGAATTTGAAACCTTTGTCTTGTAATTTTTGTTTCACCATGCTATGTAAATAACATAGATGAGACTTCTATGTAAATATCCTCTTACTTTTAAATTTTGTTTTTAACTTTGCAAGGGCATGAATGGCTTCCAGTATGAGGAACTCTGTAACTGGTGGGTGTAGCAAAAGGTTTGTAGATAGAGAGAAACTTGGATTGTCCTGCTGCATACTTTTTTAAAACCAAAACAAAAACAAGTGGAAAGTCCAATCTGGAGAATATTTTCAAGTTGAGCTGACTAAAACTTCTATCATGTCTTCGTGAAAGAAAAAAACCCTTACTGTTACATAATGAAAGTGCTTACTTAGAACAATATATTAGGTCATAAGACAAACCTTATTTCTTGCGAAATACATCATATCATTTATAAAATACCATACCTTTTGCTGATAGTGACACCAGAACATATTGCCTCCATCTTAGAAATCCGGTCTCTTATCCAAGATCATGCAGCAATGTTGTCCTGGAGAAAGGAACCTAAGGTAGTCAGAAATCGCCTGCCAATTGTGCACTCTTATTACAGAGGCTGCAGATGTGATGGGATCTTCCCAGGATCTCTGTCAGATGCTGGGGCTGTTCAGTACTGCATCCTGCTATACTGGGGGAGTTGCCATTTCAAGAAGAAAGCTGAATGTTCACTGTACTAGAGAGGGGCAAGGGACTTTCGTGGGGGCATTTTTGATATACTAAATATGAATTAGTGCCATTGACATGTTTGAGCATTTTGTATTCCAAATAACTTTCTTTTGCCCATTTTCCTCAATAATAAATCCTACAAGAATGGACTGCGTTGCACACAGGTCTGTATTTATTTTTAATTTATAAACTAACATAAATACAAAACAAGTTTAATTAGGATGTCTACAAAATAATGGGGACAGGAGGGCAGAGGAGACCTCATTTCCCTGTTGGAAGATTATAGCATTTTCTCATGAGTTGTTCAGTTTATGCCAGTGGGGAGTTGTCAGTGTGGTGTTTTCAGCCTATTACAAAAAAAAAAATTAATTGTGGTTGAAAAGTTCTCAGGACTTACCTCTTACAGCTGGCTGCAAATTTTTTCTAGAATCTCTCTTAGAGCAGAATGTAAATTAGTACAAACCAAATTGTTGATATAGTGCCTTTTTGGGAATTTCTTGCTGTGAGAGAGAGAAGAAATATGGTGCATAGGCCCCATTGGGACAGCAAGGATGATTGGAAGTCTAAGAACACTCCCAAGACCATGGACCATGTTTTCCCACCAGTAGATTCAAACTGAAGACCTGATTTGAATCTTACAGATGGCAGTGGAATGTCACAGACAACAAGAATGTCTCTAATCTTTTCAGATGAGGGACAAGCCTCTTTTTTAGTTTTTGTGCTCTATCATTTTTACTTCCAAAGGTCTGTTCATCCCCACATGTCAGGAAAGACTTTGAAATCTCAGTGTTTATTACGAGAGGACCTTTTTTTCCAGTTCTCTGTGGTTTATGTGTGAGATAAATAATTAAATGTTTTAGTTGCCTCTGCCTAAGATGTCTGCAGATGGAAAATAAGCCGTCATGATTTAGTGGATGTGTATATAATAGGATAGAGTGTTATGAAAAACATACTATATTATATATATAGTATTTAATACTATACATAAAAACATACTATATTATATATAACACTCACTTGCAATCAACTTGGTTTGAGTGCTAAAAAGGCCAAGCCATAGTACAGCCTAATTTACATAGTATTCTTTCTATTTTATCTTAGAAATTATATAGTATTAAGTCTCGCTTATATTAAAAAAAAGAAATTACGACATTCTAATCAGGGAATACATGATAACAAAAATAAAGGTACATCAAAGTACATCCAGCTGAATAAATACTGTTCCTTCCATGTAGCTTATAATAGAAGATTCATTATTTTAAATGCTATGTGTTCTACAACACGGATGTCAGAAGTTAAATAGTCTAGACATACCAGCTAGCAAAAAGTATCAGGATACCCATTAAAAGTTCACTTTGCAAAACTGAAAGATACAATTCATTTTAAATTAATTCAATTTAAATTATACTTTTGTTTTCTTGAGTATGCACAAGTCTTATTTAAAAAAAAAAATGAATGTAATAGGAGGAGGAAATAAAAGTTCCAAGAAAAAGAAAGGATCTAATGTATCGGTATACATTTATTTCAAGAACAGTAATGCAGTGCATAAACCTGGTTAAAATTTTCATCAATACAAGCAGAAAATCTGGAGGTTTTTTCCTTGATTTCTATCTCTTTAAAATAGAACATACACCACATTTTGTGACATAAGAACGTAGGCTTCCAAAAAGCACACAAATCATTCAGAATGGCAATGTCCTAACATACATTTCATTCTGGATAAAGCAAGTGGGATAATTTTATTACAATGAGTCATACAATTAAAGTGCAAGAACCCAGTAAGTTACTGAGGCATAACTGTGAGGAATTTTTTTCTCCGTTATGTAAATCCCTGCATTTTGGTTGTGAGTGGCTGATTTGCATAATCACAGTACAGTTGTTTTTCCATAATTGAACTGTGTATAAATGTCACTCTAACTTAATTGATTCTTATACTTTCAATCCCTATTTATCTTTAATTTTCAGAATTTTTAATCTGTTTACCAAAAGGTGAAAAAAAGGCACCATCTCTGCTTTTACATTTTGGATTTTACATACAGTAAATCCAACAGCTGAAAAAATGGGGGAAACAAAGCAGCTAAAACAGCACTTCCTCTTCTGAAAACAAAATGCATTAAAAGATTTTGTAAGATATATCAGTTTTTTCCTTCTTCCTTCTCAGTGCTCTTACTTCTGGATCTTTGTGTACAGGCTAGGAAAATATCTGCTGTACATTTAGTGTGCTGTAACAAGACTGTGGTAATGGCAGCGAGAGCTTTTGGGTGGAGACTTTAAATGTCAAGATACTCATACTAACCATACACAAATAAAAATTGACATAAATTACCATTAGTTTACTGAATAATTTTGAAATCAAAATTATGTTGATGTGTTTTCTAAGGGCACATTCCTCTATGAACAGGAGACCTCATTCTGCCAATAAACTAGACAGCAAAATCCAATAAAATTCCATCATACATCTGATTGAATAGTGATGTGCTGTTAATGCTCGTGGTAAAATCTGAAACAGCTATAATAGCTGATTGTATTGAATCCAAGGTAGTGTCATTACCTCTAAAGGAGGAAGATATTGCATATTTCCAATGCTCTTTGCCATCTTACATTGAAATTATACAAAAAGTTACATTTCTATACAAACCGTATTCTGAAATGTTTGGCTGGCTTGCCACTCCATTTGGCCTCAGTTGCTGGTGCTCAAAAGCCCTGAATTTGATTCATCTTGTACAACTGACTGATAATCCCCCAAAACCTGAAGCTCAAATCTCTGTGATAATTCAGGCTAAAACCTGATGTTCTGTGCAGACTTGTCTCACATTCTGTTTGCAGAGAAAGTTTTATTTCCCCCTCCTTAGACT